GCTCTAAAATATCTGCCAGTGTATTGTGATACATTGTTAGATATGAATTCTTCAGGTGTACTAAACAAATTGAAGTTTCCATTCATACAATCTGGCACAGATTCACTTGAGGAATCGTTCAATTATCTGACGATAATCAGTGACAAGGGAAAGTCATTGCCATGCACAGTAACTAAATCTATTGCAAGTTTAGACCAAAGAATGGAATCTTACAGAGGTGCTAAGGTTCTTTGTGTTGCTGTGGTTAGTTGCTCTAGTATGTCTCCCACATCCTCACTACTTTTTCTATCATTACTGATCCCTGGTCAGTACACTGTATCCCTGACCAGGTGCCATGTTCACTTCATGTTCATCCATAGCTGCAACAATCCGCACAGTGCTTTAGGTACACACACCTATTTTCCTTTAAAAATCAAGCCTTGAGGTACCTCGTTCACCTGTACAGCCAAAGGCATCTGAGAGTGCCTGGCACCTCTTGGAGCACATCAGGCCAGCCATCTATAATAACTTTCCATAGTGCCTCATTTCTGGATCATTTGTTTCTTCCTGATGTTTGTTGCATTGGTGCTGACTAAAAGTCATCAAGTCATTCTTAAACACGTCATCTACCTTAATGTGTACTTGTAAGTCTAATGCAGTGATTTCCAACCTTTCTAAGTACAAAATCACTTGAAATTAAGTGCAATCCAGAATCTACCCCCCCGCAAAAAAGATTATTTTTAACGTTATATAAATCTAAAACCAAGTATGTTTAATTATTCATTTTGTTCTCTACTCACTAAACCTGTGTGACACCTGTGACTGCACATTATCTGCTAGAGCCTTGAAGTTTGGATTGTAGTTTGAAGGTTGAGACTGCTAGTCCTATATAATCCATCAAATAGGTATCTGTGAGGCAGGTGTAATACTTGGACTTGATTAGTTTTGTTTGGGAGAAAAGACATGAATGTGCTCCCCAGTCCATGCTCCAAACTGGACTGGCAATGGCTACTAGTTGTATGTTCTACATCCTGCTTACTTGCTGTTAGTATGATCTGTCTTAAAGAGTATATGTTGCCTCTTGAAATAATGTCATAACAGCAACCATTTGTGAAAATCAGTTGTGTCAATTGTTACAGAGAAGGGGAGGTTAAATGAAAGAAAATCCCTGATATTCACTTTATAAGTAAAAAGTAACAATTTATTTATTTAACCCTAAGAAAAGCACCAACTTATCAATGACAGGTACCACGGCATTTCTAGCTCAGAGTCTTCACAGAGAAAGCATCCCTGATAGCAGGATCAGTGGAAAAAAAGCCTTTATGACTTGAGAACAGCAGAAGAAAGGTGTTTATGACTGGGGAGACAGTGGATAAGGCACAGCATTCCGGAAGACACATTCTGTGTGGACTTTGAGAGATGAAGTTCTAATTTATATATTTTTCTTACTACTTGGGCTATATAAGTGGGACTTGTGTTTATTGGAATTTTATTGAAATCCCTGATATTCACTTTATAAGTAAAAAGTAACAATTTATTTATTTAACCCTAACAGTGAACAAATTAACAGAACTACTAACAAACCAAACAATTCCCCCCAACTCCTAACTATTCCCTAACTGAATAAAATTCTCCTTGTATACTATTCCAATAAACACAAGTCCCACTTATATAGCCCAAGTAGTAAGAAAAATATATAAATTAGAACTTCATCTCTCAAAGTCCACACAGGATGTGTCTTCCGGAATGCTGTGCCTTATCCACTGTCTCCCCAGTCATAAACACATTTCTTCTGCTGTTCTCAAGTCATAAAGGCTATTTTTCCCACTGATCCTGCTATCAGGGATGCTTTCTCTGTGAAGACTCTTAGCTAGAAATGCCGAGGTACCTTTCATAGATAAGATGGTGCTTTCTTAGAGAGCTTGGTGATTTCTTGTGAGAGCTAGGTGCTTTTTTTCAGATGGCAGTTCATTCTCACACCGATTTTCAAAAACCCTCTGCTTACATATCTTGGATGACATATCAATTCTCTTACAATAGCATTGGTCCGAGGTTGTCCAAACTATCAGATTTAAATTCATTTGGCTTTCAATCACTAAGTGGTTGTTTTTAAATTAATTGGCTGATTCCAGCTGATTGCCAAAACGTCAAAACACGCCTAAGGTTTCCAATCACACAGCCAGTTGACACATGTTTCAAGTTTAGAACTAGCTGTACATCTTCAGCTACATACTGATGCATTTTTTTTGTATAAATCTCTTAAGCTTAGAAAAGCATTTTGTCTCTTAAGGAGCCACATACGCTGCACAACTTCGTAACAATATTGTTGCAAAGGTTCATAGTATGTTGTGGTTATTATTTAAGTATTTGGTTTCTGAAGTAGAAGAAAATCAGTTATTACTTTTCATTTCTGTGATGATCTGACTTCTTTGGAATTCTAGGCCAAAATTTCATTTTGAACATTGAGTTCGAAACAATAGTTACACAATGTCACGTGTTTTCTGCTAAATGACTGGAAAGCTGTCTGGGGAGATAATGAAAAAGGTGTTTTATAACTTGACAACCATGAGAGGGAGGGGGTAGGAGCCAGAAGCCAGTTCATGCAGGGGAATGAAGCCCATAAGCAAAAAAGCGGGGTTGTTGTCAGTGAGAAGAGAGCACCAGAAACAGAAGTTATAGGAAATGTCAAGGAGGTAGATATTGACAGGCTTGTGTTTAGGGAACCCATGTTAAATCATAGTGAGCTGAATCAATGGCTTGTTTTAGAGGTGTTGGGGAGAGACACAAACTGAAGAAAATAGCATGGAGTGAATGCGCAGACACTTGCTGAAAAGAAAATAGTTACAGTCATCCCAGCTGAGCAAGAAGTTTTAGTGTGTAGCTCGGGGTGACCTCTCACTGATTTTGAGAATCTGTAAGGCTGTTGCTGGGATAAAAGGAATTAATATTTCTTTTTGATGTTTGCAATGAGATTGTTCCAGTAGGTCTTGTTCTAATGTAAAATAGTTTGTTTTTTTCTTGTGTAATAAACCTTTTGTTAAAAGTACATCGGCGGCATCTTGTGAATATTGTAGGTGACTTATCTCTATGGTACGCAATAGGAAATATAAAACTCATGGTCTATATTTCATTTTGGGGTCTGACATGTACAGTATCACCTCGTAGTATCAGCTGGGATCATTACAAGTAAAGGAAAATATTTGGATTGTGGATTAATATAAAATGTATGAGCATTGCCCTAATCTCTGACACTAACTTAGGTAAGAAATATTGAGTTTGGGTATATTTTAATTTTCCACTTAAAGTCCTAATCTGCATAAAACTACCCTACATGTTAGAATGGCTATAGGCATAGACTGTTGTCATACTCATTTATACATTACTTGTGTTGGAATGCTCCATGTTAAGTTAGTTTTGTCATAGATAGAACACCAAAGCTGTTATTGAATTTAAATAAAATATTTCCAAAAATCCGTCTCTACTACTTTCTAAGTGGACAGTTCTTTTGAGTACTTATGAGAGTATGAAATTATTGCTACATTGCTTGAAAATGAGGTATTCTGAAAATACGTGAGTGCAATAATCTCAACAATTCTTAAGGGCAAGGCAACCATTTGTGAATTGATGAAATTATGATGCACATGTCATTAGTTTCTGTAACCTCTTCATTTTTGCATGACTGTCATAACAAAGGGGAGAGATGAGTCGAAGTTGTCATCTGTCTGTAACAGAAGTGGTTTTTACATTTTTCTTACTTGCCTCTTTTCTTTTATAAGTGGTGGTGGTATACTTTCCCAAGCCCTATATATGAAGTACAAGTTAAAATTGACCTATGGTAAAATTCCTTACGGTATTCCTTAGGGTACAAACTTTGATTTGTATTAATGCATTCAAAATCCAGGAGAATGGTTTGCAACTCACATTCGCATGCATGTGTCCTCAGAAGAAAAAAAGAAGTTACAGGTTACTCAAAGATATTGGCATTAGCACAGATGAATTAGACCTCCAATAAGTCAATGTCTATTGAAGGTCCATTCAATTCGCTGTGCAAAGAAGTCCTGAGCTAAATGTGTACCAAGTGTTGTAATATTTCTCCCTTTCCTCAAATATGCACCAACTTGCACGCATGTGCACCCACACATATGTAGAAATATAGATTACTGAGAGGCAGGGATAGGTTGTCCAAATTAGAGTCCATTTCAAAAAAAAACTGTTAGGTTGGCGTCCAGTAGTTTTGTGACTTGGATTTCTTCTGGCTGAGTTCAATGATCTTTACGCTCTGATTTAAAGGTGTTGATTAATGAATTAGTTGTTTTTCTGGAGGTAGACATAAAGTTGTTCCAGGCAAATTAACTATCCATATATTCATAAGAAACATTGAACTGTAATACCAGCCTTTATAAAGCAACCAATGTGTTTATTGTTATATGTATTTAGCCACTTGCCTTTTATGTGGTGCTATCCCTTTAATTTATCCATCATATCATTTATTCAAGTCTTTAAGAGCTACCAGTGTACAAAACTAGACCTCGTATAGCCAGGACACCTAACCATACACCTAACCATTGCAAGCTTCATGTTCAGGGCCTGATTAGAAAGCCTGCTTTGTATTCTTTAAAAGTATAAAATTAAGAACAGTTTGGAATTCTGTTTCTTTTTTTTTTATTATTTGAATATTTATGATTACTTTGCCCCAACTGACTTTCTTTATTGGTTTATTTGACAATACTGAAGCAGCTCCATGAAATTCAAAGGAGCATTCAGTGCCTGGAAACAGCACTCCCACAGTTTGATGCTTCCACTTAGTGACATGCTTTCCATATTGTATAAAACAGATGTTGGAGTAACAGTTTGTCTGGCTGTTTTAATAGTAAATTGAAGCACACATGGAGTTATTAAAATAAATTAGACGATAAATTATTGAATATTATGTGACATCATTTGAGCCTTATCTAAAATGTCACACATTGTCATTTTTATTTAAAGCAATTCAAATTAAGTAGGATTGCTTTTTTTCTTAGGTACATTTGAAAACTCAAATGACCAGTAAAACCCAACAACTTGACATGATGTCCAAGCAATACAAACTGTTAGAGAAGCGCCTGGAAGAAATGCTCTCTAAAATTGCTAAGGAAACAGAGGATATCAAGGATCTTGAAGAGCAGCTGACAGAAGGTAGCTGTTGAGACTTTTTTTTAATTCTCTGAGGAAGTTCCCTCTGTAGGTGACGAACCAGCATATTGTGCAAATAAATATGCTCTGCTGAAATGATAAGAGAATTCATAAGGTGCCTTTTCATAATGATCAAATGTGCTTCTATATTTTCAACAGTGCGACAGATCAAAATGAGGATCCAAATCTAAACTTGGGGTGGGAGAAGGACCTTTTCTTTTGTATATCTGCATATGTAATGCACCAAGTAAAGCTGCAATTTAATTATAATATTTGTATTGCTTAATTCTGCTGAATTCATCCAAATTCCCCAATGGTAATTACATAAATACTGTACCAGTGCTTTAAATATTAACTTGCCCTAATGCATTTTTAATAGGCCGTATAGTAGCCAATGAGGCACTGAAACGGGACCTCGAAGGTGTTATTGCTGGGCTGCAGGAGTACTTGGAGAGCGTAAAGGGGCAGGCAAAACAAGCTCGGGAGGAATGCACAGAGCTACAGAAAGAAAAGGAGATACTGTTGCTTCGATTGGCTGATTTGGAACAACAAAAAAATCAGCTCGAAATTGTTGCCATGGATGCAGAGCACTTGAGAAAGGTATGTATTTGAGTGCATTAGAATCCTGAGGTGCTGTACCATTTCCTATTGAAGAAAGGATCACAAAAGCAAAATGTAATTAAGAATATATTTAAAATTCAACTCCATTTTCACTGAAAATTCTACTAGTTTGTGATGATAATAAATACCTAATCAACCAAACATGGTCTGAAAAGTGCTACCTACCAAATCAGCAACTGCTGATAATAAATAGGAATTGATAATTATCTACTAAACAATAATGTATTTTAGCATGAAAGGAAGAAAAATAAAGTTGCCTTTTTTTTCATTAACATGTCCACTTGTCCTGTTGTAATTATGCAAATAAGACTTTACCGAAAGGAAAGATATTTGCAAATGTTACATTGTAGCATACAAAACAAGTAATATAGAAACGTCTAGAGTTAAATAGTAAGTAATCGATTTACTTGGCAGGATGCTTTGGGTAACCTAAACCTTAATGACTGCAGTAATCTGCAGAGTCCATGTTTATTTCTCTGTGTAGGAGATGTCTGACCTGGAACATTCCTTACAAGAGCAACAGGAGTTGAATGAGTCTCTGCGTCAAGCTCAAGGTGACCTCAGTGAATATGAAGCTGAGTTAGAATCTCAATTGCAAGCAAGGGATATTGAAGCAACCCAGCTCAGGGAGGAACTGGAGCGACTCCGGAAGCTTAGTCAAGTGAGTTGAAAGCTTGATTCTTACTCATTCTCCCAAAGTTGACATGGTAATTTTTATTTACAAGTGTTGAGGAATATGAAGTATTTAACCAGTAAATTCTTTGTGTATTTGTGGCATTGTTTACAGCACAAAGTATTGGAAATCACAAAACTATTGCAGTGTGGAAGGTGGCTGTTTGGGCCATTGTGTCTGCAGCGGCTCTATTATCCTGATTTTCCCCATATCCCTGCACACCATTACTTAGGATGGAGATGAGGAGACATTTCTTCACCCAAAGAGTGGCGAGCCTGTGGAATGCATTACCACAGGAAGCAGTTGATGCCAAAATATTGAATATATTCAAGATGTGACTAGATATAGCACTTGGGGCGAATGGGGTCAAAGTTTATGGAGAGAAAGCAGGATTAGGCTATTGAGTTGGACGATCAGCCGTGATCATGAAGAATGGCGGAGCAGGCTCGAAGAGACAAATGGCCTCCGCCTGCTCCTATCATCTATGTTTCTATCCAACGACTATCCAATGCCCTCTTGAATGCCTGCACTGAATCTGCTTCCACCACATTTTCAAGCAGTGCATTGTACACTTGGGCTTATTGGTGGTTGAACTTTTTTCGGAAATTTTCTCTTGAATTTCCCATTAGGTATCTGGTTATTGTAATTTTTAAACTTTTATTCATTATCTGACTCAGTAACTAGAGTCTAAATTGTAAGTGGCTTAAGTCCTTTTTTCAGCAATTCCAGTATTGTTTTCTATTGATTCCATAACATTAGGTAACTCCTGTTGCATGAACAAATTAATTTAAAAGAAAAATTGGTTGTGTTTGTATCATAAAAACTAGATGTCTCAAAATGCTTTGCAAACAGTGTAGCACTTTGAAGTCTGGTCACTTTTGCAGAAAAGGAAAGCAGCAGCTGCTATGCATGCAGAAAATTGTCTCAAGCAACAACTTGGTAATAAACAAGTGATGTCTTTTTGTGATGAATCTCTTATCCATCAGTAAATAAGTATAGAATGTAAATGGCAATAAAATAGTTCTCAGAAACTTGGATGAACATCATTAACGGTATATTTTAATTGAAAAGCTTTTTGAAAAATACAGATGCCCTGCAAGTCTCGTAGCCTGGATTTTGACAATGAATTTGTTAGAGTTTTGGTGTCATTACTCTATAATAATTGACAACAACTTCAAGAGTCCACACAGGGACAAAGTGTCATAAATCCAGAAGTCGTTGTCAGTGATTTTACATTTCTAGAGAGGATGTGTTCTAGATACATCCACAGGCTGCATTCAATGTGATTGATGCAAACTTCCATGCATAATGATATTAGTCTCATGTTATAAATAAAACCTTGCACATAAGTAAATTTTAAGACCATAAGAAATAGCAACAGGAGTAGGCCTAGAGCCTGCCCTACTGTTCCATAGGATTGTGGCTTGCATTCACTTTCCTGCCTTTTCCCTGAACCCTTGATTCCCTTAATAATCAAGAATCTATCTATCTCCGCCTTAAATATAAATAGTCTTTACAACTCTCTGAAAGAAGAAATTCCTCCTTATCTCAGTCTTAAATTGTCCTATCTTTATTCTGATACTACTTCCTCTGGTCCTAGACTCTTCCTTGAGGGTAACTTGTTCTTGTCATTTACCCTGTCAAGCCCTTAAAGAATCCTACATATTTCAATGAGATCATTTCTCAGTCTTCTAAGGTCCAGTAAGTTAAGCCCCAAGCTGTTCAGCCTTTGCTCATAAGACAATCCCTTCACATCAGGGATCATCCAAGTAACCCTTTTGTGAACTGACTTCAATGAAATAGTATCTTTTCTTAAATGACAGGACCAAAACTCTAGATGTGGTTTCAACAACACTTTGAGCATTTGCAGTAAGACTTTACTACTCTTATGCTCCAACTGCCTTGAAATAAGGGCCAGGAAAGTCATATAGAAAGAAAATAGACCTTTTGATCCAACCAGTCTATGTTGACCATATTCCCAAACTAAACTAGTCCGACCATCCCATTAGCCTTCCTGATTAACTGCTGCACCAGTGTGTTAGCTTTATGTTTTGTGCGCAGGTACCCCAGGTCCCTTTGTCTGCTGCTTTCTGCAGCTTTTCTCTATTTAAATAATAGTGTTCTTTTTTTCTCACTTCTAAAATAAACAACTTTATATTTTCCCACATTATACTCCTTTTGACAACTTTTTGCCCGCTCACTTAACCTTTGATATCACTCTGTAAACTGTTTGTATCCTCTTCACAAACTGAAGTATAACTGGTCTTTTGTTTTAACAGCAGTCTAACATTGAATTTGCTGCTAAACATTCTCACTGGAGCTGTGAAGACAATTTTATATTTGTGGAATGTCAATTTACTTCAGAATTTTATTTTTAAAAATCCATGTTTTGGAAATTTGAAAGTATGTTTTATCTGGATTAATGTAGAAATTGAAATAATCATTTTATGTTGTTATTAAACTAAAAGTCAAGGAATTCAGTGTTTTTAACTTTCTGCTTTGTTGTATGTAAATACTACAGTATGATTGTTCACCTGCTTGCTGATATCACTATTACTGCTTGGCAAGAGATCCTCTCTATTTGGCCACAGACTTAAACTGCAGTCTGGAAAAGGGGAAAACCAGAGATCACTGGCTCATAGGAGCTTTGTAGGCAGCTTTCTTTGAGGTCAATCATGAATTCTTTGCTTTGATACTACCTGCAAAATCCAACCCATTATTTTGGAAATAAGCGATAACACAGTGTGGAGCTGGAGGAACACAGCAGGCCAGGCTGCATTAGAGGAAC